CAGCCACTCCTCGGAAGGAAGATGGGGCAATCTACTTCCGTAGTGATACTGCCTCGGAAACCCAAGGAGGGGTCGCTATGAGTCGGGTCTGACTTGACGGCACATAACAACAACAACAACAAATCAAAGTGTATCATGAAATGTCTTCTATTTAGTTTTACCTATTTCAATTAATACCAAACACTCATCCATGAAAAGCCCATTTTAAATCAACTTACTTAACCCAAATTTTAAAAAGCAATGAAAAGTTACACCTGAGTAGATTACCTTTCATACATAGTTCCATCATGCTATCACAGGAAAGAATAAGAAGGTAAAATCAACCTTTTAGATTAGTAAATCAAAAAAGGTTAGAATCATGCATAAATTCTTCCACGGATAAAAATAGCTTTAATCCTAGAAGTTATGTGGTAGGCATGTCTTTACATGTTTTTTTTTTTTTTTTTTTTTTTTAAGCTGACCCTAACAAGTTGTCTTTATAAATAAGTTATTATAACTGAAAAAGAAAAAGGCTTTACTCACCATAAGGGTTTCCATTGATATTTGTTCCTATAAGCTCCAATGTTTGTTCTAGCAGATCTGATAGTGGCACTGCACTAATTTCCAAAAGTCCTGGATCATCAGGATCAGGCTTCAAGACCAGAGCAATTTCAAATTCATAGTTGACTACAGAAGAATGCCAGCAATACTGTTTGTTGTTTTTCTCTACTGGTACCCAGCCTATGATTTAAAGAAAAATGGTTTTATTGTTTTTTCTCTGGATTCAGACTACACTTAATTCTTCTTTTTTTTTCTTCTAAATTTTCCACTTTCTAGATGTTCTATCACACAGATAACACTTTTAAAGACAGCAAAAAATTAAGTTTTACCACTTTGTTTTAATCATAAAGGTTTATTCTGTTGAGAATTAACCTGTAGTTTGATTATTCACTACGAAGCACCCAGCATTTCCTCACTACAACAACAACAACACACTGCTGTCAAGTCAGATCCAACTCATAGCAACCTCTCTTTGGGTTTCTAAGGCAGTATCACTATGGAAGGAGATTGCCCAACCTTCCTTGGAGGAGTAGCTGGTGGGTTTGAACCACCAGCCTTCTGGTTAGCAGTCAAATGCCTTAGGCACTATGCCATCAGAGCCCGACTAGAAAATTTAAATACCCTGATTTAGGAAGAAGTGCCACTCTTAAGACATGGGATTAAAACTTTTCATAAAATAATTGTCTACCTTTTCTCCTTAAGGACAAAATACATATATATGCAAGTAAGTGCTCTGCAACTAAATGAATTGTCACCGTCTTTACTGAATAATCTTTTGATTCCGTATTTTTGAATGTTACTGGTATGTCCTTCCTCACTCTTGTCAGAATAAACTCCTTCACTGGAGGAATTCCTTCCAAAAATAAATATGACAAACTACAGCATATATACCATTGTGGCCTCCATATGTTTGGTCTTCATTTCTTACCCAGATTATCTACCAGCTTCTTTGGTGGTTTGCTAGCCTCCAGTGAAACCCACCCCCCATTTTTACCATAGTTTTATCTTTCTAAATTTAGATTTAGTTCTGCCATACCCTCAATTAAAATCATCATCTTTAAATTCCTTTAGATAGAACACAAGCCCATTCTACATCTATAGTCTCAATTTCCATAATCTCTCCAAGATGTCATATACCCTCCAATATTCTTGCCACAAGGAAGTTTAATCTGAAATTTCCCAGAGACACTATGATCTCTTCTCTTCCTGGGAGTTTGCCTAGACTTAGCTTCCCTTTCCTTGCCAGCTAACATCCTGGTTCTTAAGCTTCAGTACCAGTGTCAACTGTTGTAAGGTTCCCCTAGCTACCACAGATTGAAGTAGGAATTCCTCCTCCTTTATCCCACTGTACCTGTATATTCTTTCCTCTTTGTCCTTCAATCACACTACTAGTCATCAATTTCCCCCCAAGGTCTAAAGGATCATTGAAGACAAGAGGTCTAATCTTCATTTTGGTATTACCAGAACCTAAAACAATGCTTTGCATAAAATAAACACTTAAGAAATGGCGGATGAGCCAATTCTTAATCTGGAACATCTTTCTACCCATCAGGATATAGTTCCAAAAAATTTCCCATCCACAGAATGGGATTTCACCTATAGTAAAAAACTATTTTCAACTCCTTCCACTGAGATACTCTTCTTAGATCACTGAAAAGTATCCAAATCAAACACCAAACCCACTGCCATCAAGTGGATTCCAACTCATAGTGACCTTATAGGACATAGTAAAACTGCCCCATAAGGTGTTTTCAAAGCTGTAACTCTTTACAGAAAGAGAATGCCACATCTTTCTCCCAGAATGGCTAGTGGGTTCAAACCAACAATCTATCAGCAGCTGGACACTAAAGAAAATGTCCTTTAGACCTTGAGGGGAAACTGATGACTAGCAGTGTGACTGAAGGACTAAGAGGAAAGAATATACAGGTACAGTGCTATAAAAGAGGAGGAATTCTTACTTCAATCTGTGGTAGCTAAATGAAGCTTTCAACAGTTGACACTTGTACTGAAGCTTAAGAACCAGGAAGTTAGCTGGCAAGGAAAGGGAAGCTAAGCCTAGGCAAACTCCCAGGAAAAGAGCATAGTGTATTCGGGAAATTTCAGACTATATATTTTAGCTCTTTAAATCATAACAAACCACTGTGCCATTGTGCCACCAGAGCTCCTCTTGCAGAAACATAATAATACATTTTCCTCAGATAAAGAGCTCCTGATATCTCAGTCCAGAATGAATCAATCTATCCTGTCAAAGTAAAACTTTAGAACTATTCCCACTCAATGCTTTACTAATTTTCACAAATCACAACTAGTAAAATACCATCTTAGAAAAGATTCTAAGCCTGAGATAACATTCTTGATATGAAACACCTCTGGTATAAAATGCTTCACTGCACATAAATTTGGTTCAGAAATTCTGCATTATCTATTGACTATTAGCTATATAGATTAAAAAAAAAAAAGAGAACCACAATAAAGTTATAAAACTGACTGAATGGACCATTTGTTTTTTATACCAGTGAACTCTAAAGGCTTTTCAGAAGAGATTTTGTGATACCAGGAATGTGTCCATTTTCATCAGGGACTGCTTTCCCATTTATTTGTTCTATGCCCTTCGCTGGCATCCAGCACTCTGGAACAGGTTTGAAGTCCTCCTCAACATTCCAAAAAAATTCTAAAAAGAATTAGATAATCTTATATGTGGCAGCACTTTCAAAAAACACAAAATACCAAACAGATTTAAAATAAAAATTAACTCCATAAAATCAGGTGTATAACTATTCTCCATGCATTATCACACAACATGACTGTACTCAGGGTTAAGGTATTGACAATTTATATTTTTAATTTGGAACACAACACCATTTGTACGTATTGTCTAAAGTGGCAATATTTCAAGTATGTGCTTATTTGAGATGAATTTAATTTTTACACACTATGAATGAAAATATATACATAAATTATATACATGAATGAGTGTATATATACTTGAATGAATGTAGGTATCAACTATATATAACATTCAGAGGCATTTCAATATAGTAACTTAAAATACTAATTTTCTTTTGAGATTTGTGCCTGGTTACAAAATTACATATCTGTCCTTTTTGTGCAGACTGAAAATTAAATGTGACATTATATTATGTAGTAATCTCTATATTATTATTGTTGTTACGTGTTGTCAAGTTGGACCCGACTCACAGTGACCCCTCCTTGGCTTCCAAGGCAGTACCGCTATGGAAATACATTGCCCAACCTTCCTTCCAAGGAGTGGCTGGTGGGATTGAACTGCCAGCCTTCTGGTTAGCAGTCAAGTACCTCAGGACGCTACCAGAGCTCCTTAGCAATCTCTATATTTTAATAAAATTGACTCATACTATAATGAAGTCACGGAAATGTTGTTGTCTGACTCATAGCGACCCTATGCACAGCAGAACAAAACACCACCCAGTCCTGGGCCAGCTCCATGATTCTTGCTATACTTGAGCCCATCGCCGCTGCCACTGTGTCAATCCATCTCATTGAAGGCCTTTCCCTCTTTCTTCGACCTTCCACCTTACCAAGCATGACATCCTTCTCCAAGGAATGGTCCCTTCTGACAACAAAGGGATGTGAGACACAGTATGGCCATTCTTGCTTCCAAGGAGCATTCTGGCTGCACTTCCTCCAGGACAGACCTGTTAGTTCTTTTAGCAGTGCACAGTACTTTCAGCATTCTCACAGCTCAAAAGCATCAACTCTTCTTCAGTCCTCCTTATTTATTGTCCAGCTCTCACATGCATATGAGGCAACCTAAAATACCATGACTTGTGTCAGGTGCACCTTAGTCCTCAAGGAGACATCTTTGCTCTTCAGCACTTGAAAGAGGTCCTTTGCAGCCGATTTGCCCAGTGCTATACGTAACAACAACAACATATGTCGTCTGATGTCCTGACTGCAGCTTCCACTGACGTCAACTGTAGAACCAAGCAATGTGAAATATTTGACAATTTCAATCTTTTTTCCATTTATCATAATGCTGCTTATAGGTCCAGTTGTGAGGATTTTTGTTTTCTTTATATTGAGACGAAATCCATACTGCAGACTCTATTCTTCAATCTTCATCAGTAAGTACTTCAAGTCATCCTCACTTTCGGCAAGCAAAGTTGTGTCTTCAGCGTATCTCACGTTGTTAATGATTCCAGCCTCTCGGATCATTTGCTCAGCATACAGATTTAATAAATATGGTGAAAGGATACAACTCTGATGCACTCCCTTCTTGATTTTAAACCATGCAGTGTGCCCTTTTTCTGTTTGAATGACAGCCTCCTGGTCTATGTCAAAGATTCCTTATGAGTACAATTAACTGTTCTGGAATTCCCATTCTTCTCCATGTTATCTACAATGGGTTATGATGATCCACACAATCAAATGCTTTTGCATAGTCAATACAACACAAGTAAACATCATTCTGGTATACTTTGCTTTGAGCCAAGATCCATGTGACATCAGCAATGATATCACTCGTTCCACGTCCTCTTCTGAAACCAGCTTGTATTTCCGGAAGTTCTCTGTCAATATACTGCTGCAATCGTTTTGAATTATCTTCAGTAATATTTTACATGCATGCGATATATTAATGATATTGTTTGGTAATTTCCACATTTGGTGGGATCACCTTTCTTTGGAATCTGTACAAATATGGATCTTGGTATAGTGACCCTCTGTATTCCTTCCATCTTCTTTTTTTTTTTTTAATTAAGCTGTTTATTCATTGATTCAGACATTATGCCTTACTTTTTTTTTTTCCTCTTTATTGTGATTTGGGTGAAGATTTACAGAGCAAATTCACTTTCTATACAGCAGTTCACATATACTTTGTCTCATGACATTGACCACAGTTTACCACAATGCAACAGCTCCCCTCCCACTTCCTCCCCAGTTACCTCTTCCCTATGTCCATCCCTTCATGGATTCCTGCCCCTGAGCTGTCTCCCTGTGTATAAGCAGCCCTTCTTTCTCCCATGATTGTTCTCTCCAAGGAGAATATCTACTTGAGGTAAATGTTCAACTAATATGCCTGTCTTTTGTTTGGCCGGAAACAACAGGTGTGGGTTCAATTCCAGACCTGAAGGGCAGCTAGGGGCCATAGTCTCAGTGGTTCCACCAGGCTCTGTCAGACCAGCAAACCTGGTTC